GTACCGACGTTACTAATACTAACTTAACTTAGGTACGTCTATATATTACTATATAGTAGTACGTATAGTAGACTATACTACTACTTTACTTATATATATATATATATATATATATATATATATATAGAGAGAGAGAGAGAGAGAGAGGGGGGGGGTGAAGAATGCAACTTTAAACAAAATGACAATATCTATGTCAGTTATGGGGAAAATTAAGCAGTAGGCCTTTTTCTTTTGATATGTTAACAGGTTAGTATTCGAGCACCTTGACATCACATTGTCGCTCTGCCACGCTGACCATCGTGCCAAGAGACCCATTTCCTAAATATAGCACTAATTTTTAAAAAAAAAAACTCATTTCTCTTTAATATTCTCTTTATTATCACGAGAGTAATTCCTTTACATAATTAGGATTTTCTTTCCAGCATATTCTAGTTTGCTTGGTAAATGTCATGTAACCCTCATGAAAAACAAAAAATATGCTCTAATAAAAAATAACTATGCAACAAAAATATGGTAACCAATCATAAAAAAACGGGGAAATTTATCAAAATACTCATGAGAGATGCACTATTCAGGCTGATACTATTCCAACCATGATCATCAGCCTTTAATGGGTATTATAAAATTAAATCAAATAATACATACAATGTGAGATACGTTATCTCATATGGGTAATTTGATAATTTTTCCTAAAAAATTATAATAATAAGTATACGAAATATATTCTTTTGGTATCTAAATTTTAAAATATATAAGAAAGCTTACATTTTTCCATATTTAATTTTTCCTTCCTCTTTTTTGTGTAATTTCCTTTTCTGTAGTATTTCCTGATCAATTATTTTCAATAAATATTTACCCCAAAAAATTTTGTCCAAGAATTTCCCAAGATGACCCAAATTTTAAAAAACTCTGGAAATTTTCCTCACTAGAAAACAGCAAAAAAAAAAAACAAAAAGAACTGAGGATTCTTAGAGCTTCCAAGAGCTGAGACCAGTTGGTGTCCAGTATTTACCTTGGCAAATTCCAAGAGCTGAGACCAGGTATCCCTAGAGATTGCTTTGTTGTGTCTGGCCTGTATTCATAAAACCACCATATATATCCATTCAAACAAGTTTCAGCAAGAGCTCATAAGCCTCACAAATCACAGCTTCCTTTCACACATAAGAACAAATAACCAACTGGGGAATGCCCCGTAAAGGCTATCAGTAACCTAGTAAAAGTATCACCATTTTCTTATTTTATATATGCTGAGCACAAGCATCAGGGTTTAGCACAGTGTCACGTGCATTCTCATCGATAATGCAGACACATACAGTTGGAAGCTTGATAAGGATAACATCCATTTTGAGTCCATTCTCCTAAATTCCACACAAACCATGAAAATGGACATGATCAATCATTACCAAAATTATAATGTGCCCAGCACGTTATCTAAATATTTCCAGATGTGTAAGACTAGTTCTAGGAAGGATGAGCCCCAGGGAAGCCCTTATACTGCTCCATGCAGACCAATTAAGAATAAAAATAAAACTTAAAAATTAAAATAAAAAAAATTCCCCAGCAACTTCAGCCCTAGAAGGGCATTCCATATCAAATTTTGATTGAAATTATTAGAGAAAAAAGAAGAAGGATGGTTGAATGCAAATTTCCTCTTTATAGATAGAGAGAGAGAGAGCGAAAGAGAGAGAGATAAGGGGTTTAAGACTTACGGGAGAGAGGAAGTGGTCTTTGTAAGAGAGGGGGTGGTGTTAAAATAGACAGACAAATTTGGATATGGATTTTTTGGACTAATTCTACTTATGTCCCATTTCTATAGTTTCTTAGCATTGTTATATGCTTAGCTCTAACACTATATGACCATATATTTATAACAGAATTTTGCCGTCAAAAGTTTTGAAGTAGTAAATAATTCCAAGTTCACCACTAGGATAGTATATCCTAGAATAACCTTCTAATCAAAATATAAAATTGAATTCATAATTTTCAAACTATTTTTAGTTATATGTAAACTTCTTTTCTTTTTTAAAAACATTATGAAACCATTATTTAGGAATAAAAAAGTTTACCCATTTTTTATTACGAAGTATTCTGATATATATCTATCTATTCTATATATATCAAACAATAGCTAAGGGCACAACACGCGCAACGCACATGCCTTAGCTAGTCCAGAACAAAATATGGGACCTACAAATAAAAGATGAACCAGACGCAACTTGGTCCAAAAAATACTCAATTGCCAGGGATAATATAACAGCAAATATACAAGTTCATTGTACCTGTAAGAATTGGCACCAATGGTCAACCAATGGCCACTGTTTTTCAGCAAATAGCAGCTGCCACATGCCGATTGCTGTATCTAACGCCAATGACTTTTGACCCTGCAACCAATAGACCAACATTATATTTAATGAATAAGAGAAATATAACGAAGTACAAGAGAAATATAAGAAAACTTATTTTACTTTCAGATTTCACTAACATAACTTGCAAAAACATTTGCACTTTCTCATTTGGATGAGTGAGAATATGCTAGCAAGGTTCTCTATTCTACTACAATAAAAAAATCACATTGATCTGGTAAACTAATCATCATTTCTATATATTCTTCTCCGATGGATCTAGAACAATAGGTACACACATGTCAATACAAAACTTCATATTCAAAAAATTTCTCAAGACCATGAGAGCAAAGAAAAGTTCCAATAACTTATTTCAAGGGAAAGCAACTTCAAGACATGACGAAATGTATCAACTGTTAATTCTCAAACACGAACAATGGCCCTTTGCAAGGGTTTGTTCACGAGCTCTTGAGAGACGAGGCAATGGAATCATTATCTCCCTTTCTTGGGGAAGTATACCTACACATCCCATGTTTAGTACACAGTATAAAGGTAAGGGCATCCACCTTCTGTCATCGAGATAATTGGTAGAGATGAACTGTAGTTCCAAGGTGATCGTACATCATCAGAACTACAGTGTGTCTCCACCATCCTTCTCAAAAACAGACGGTGGACACCCCAGTTGTGAATTTTCGACCATACAGAGGATGAGTAAATTTATGGGCAGTCCATCATGGGATCTTTCTGAACGCAGCAGAATGTAGATTGTTTCAATCATTTGTAGTAGCCAATGTTGGCACACGTATTGGATTGCTGATAGCATCATCATCTTTGGAGATGCAAGAATTTCCAAAGCTCAAAATCTCTACCTCCAATGAAGGGAATGACGTATTCTTGATCACAAGTGTTAAGTGCCCGCATGTGCATGAATAAAGCCCAAAAAAAATTCGTCTCAGTCCTCAGTTCAAAATATTAACAAACTCAAAAAGCACTGGAGAGCCCATGGTTTTGAAACATCAGCAGATGAAGGGTTTCAACATACCAATTTATAATATAGGAGTCAATGAGAGGTTGGAAGGGTGGAAGAGGTAGTCAAGCCCCTTAAGATGATGGGGCAGGTTGGTGCATTGGAAGATGATAGTGGCAGTATCAGAAAACACTATGCAAGGTTGGTTGGTTGGTTTGTTTGTTTGTTTGTTTGTGTGCATGTGCGTATGCGTGCACCATATTTTGAAGTGTGAATGCTCCAAATTTGACATCTGCATAAAGAGATGGAAGAAAAAGGGTGAAATTAATAGGTGTTCAAGAACTAGGTGGTGGAATTTAAAAAAAAAAAAAAATAGACTTATTTAGAGAAAAATTAGTTAAAGGAAAATAGAACTCTAAATATGAGATCAATGTTATATGAAATGAGATAGCTGACTATATTAAGTAAGTGGAAAAATCAATTTTAGGCGAAATTCGAGGGAAAAAAAATTCTGATACGAAAAATTGGTTGTGGTTTAGAAGGCCATTAGCGAAAAATGATCTTGTTATAAAACTTGGCAATGTAATAGCGATGATTAAAACTCAAAAGAATATACAAATGCTAAGAAAAATGCTAAACAAATAGTAAAACTAAACTCAAGGCATATAATAATCTATACAATAAACTAGAAACATGAAAATGTAAAAAACGATGTCTTCAAATTAACAAAAATGAGAGAGAAAAAGTGTAAAGATCTAGACCATATTAAATGCATTAAGAGTGAGAATCAAAGGGTCTTGGTGAAGGATGAAGAGAAACAAAATGTGGAGAGTTTGTTTCAAAAATCATTAAATAGAGAACATAATGGGGATATAGCGGTAGAAGGAATAGTTGGCATAAATAAAAGCAGAGGTTACAGATACATTCGTAGAATTAGGATACAAAAGTGATAGAAACTTTGAAGATGATGAAGATAAGAAAGGCTCTAGGGCCATATGGTATCCCTATAGAGGTTTGGAAGTGAATGGGGGAGATCGGTATTGAGTGCCTGACCAAGTTGTTCAACAAGGTGTTGTAAACAAAGAAATTGTCAGATGAATGGAGGAAAAATATTGTGGTATCTATTTACAAGAACAAATGAGACAAACGGAATTGTGTGAACTATCGGGGGATCAAACTTATGAGCAACACTATGAAGTTGTGGGAGAGAGTGATTGAGCAGCAATTAAGGCATGAAACAAGTGTATCAAAAAACCAATTTTGTTTTATATCAGGGAGGTCAACAACTAACGTTATTTTTCTACTTAGGCAACTCATTGAGAAGTTTAGGGCGAAGGGAAAAAACCTCCACATGGTCTTATTAATCTAGAAAAAGCTTATGATAGAGTACCTCGAGATTTAATTTGGTAGGTGCTAAAAAAGAAAGGAGTCTCCAGAGACTACATCCGCTTGGTGAGAGATATATCAGGGAGCGCTAACTAGTGTGCGAACAACTATTGGAGAAACGAGTGAGTTTCCAGTGACAATAAGTCTACATCAGGGGTCAGCATTGAGCCCATACCTCTTTGTCTTAGTTATAGACAACTTAATTAAGCACCTGCAAGATGAGGTACCATGGTGTATGTTGTTCACGGGCAACATAGTTTTGATCGATGAAACCCATAACAGCATCAACACAAAGTTAGAACTTTGAAGGGATGCTCCCTAATCTAAAGGTTTTAAAATTAGATGGATAATGAAAAAGTATATAGAATGCAAGTTTAATAATAATAAGAGTAGAGAAGAGGAAGAAGTTAACATTGATGGCCACGAAATACCAAAAAGATCGTACTTTCGATATCTTGGATCGATAATCCAAGAAAATAAAGATATTGAAGAAGATGTAGCGCATAGAATTAAAGCTGGGTGGGCGAAGTGGAGATGTGCAACTAGAGTTTTATGTAATCGTCACATACCAATGAAGCTGGCGGGCAAGTTTTATAAGACAACTGGGAAACCAATTTTTCTTTATGAGGCGGAATGTTGGGCGGTCAAGAAATAACATAAGATGAGTGTAGCTGAGATAAGGATGTTGAGATGGATGAGTGGCAAGACAAGAAAGGATAAAATTCCAAATGAACATAGTAGGGAGAACTTAAATGTGGCACCAATAAGTGATAAGATGAGAGAGAGTGGACTTAGGTGAGCTAGCCATGTGCAGTGCAGACCCACTACAACACCTGTTAGGAGGTGGGAGTTAGTTCAAGTGGAAGGCTCAAAAAAGACAAGGGGTTAGACCCAAAAGAACATGAATGGAAGTAATGAGAAAAGATATAAGGAGTTATAGCCCCACTAAGGGTATGGCTCTTGATAGAGTAGAATGGTGGACAAGGATTCATGTAGGAAAAAGCTTATGAAGATGATGATGATGACTGTCATCTATATTGAAAATCTAAAAGAAAAATTAAAAGTCAAACAGTGGATACCCTTTGAACTGTTCGATCAACATTGGGCAGCTAAGATTAATAGTGCTCTACTGATTATAGTGTATATATATATATATATAACCTTTAAAACGCTCTAGAGCATTTTTTTTCAGTATTTACTTCCCCTTCTTCACCGTCTGATATGATCAAACGGTTGAGAGCATGTTTGACAATTTCAATTTTAAGTTATTTTTTTCTTGGAGATTAGATTAGGCTCAATTTTTGGGTATGTATGCTTCTCACTTGGGGGGCAACAGCAATATACAT